AAGTCGTGGTGTTGGGATGTTTTGTAGCAAAGCTTTGCTGAGTTCATGAGAAGGAGATCCTTGACGAAATGCTCCCCAGCTCTTTAAAGCTGCCTGAGTCAGGAGCAGCAGGGGTAGAGGAAAGACCACTGGACTTGGGGTCTTACAGAACCAGGGTGAGCCCAGTGGTGCTAGTTCAGGCAAGATGTGTGGCTTAGGCAAGTCTCTTTACCTCCCTGAGCCACAGAGTGGGGGTACCATTGGTGGACAGAGAATGCCTTGCATAGGGCCCAGCACATAGTAGGTTCTAGATGGCACAGTGCAGAGCTGAAAACTGGCACCTGCAGAGAACTGTTTGGTGTCCTCTGAAGGTTTTTTGTTGTTGTTGTTGTTGTTGTTGTTGTTGTTGTTGTTTTATATATTTTATTGATTTTTTACAGAGAGGAAGAGAGAGAGACAGAGAGCTAGAAACATCAATGAGAGAAACATCAACCAGCTGCCTCCTGCACACCCCCCACTGGGGATGTGCCTGCAACCAAGGTACATGCCCTTGACCGGAATCAAACCCGGGACTCTTCAGTCTGCAGGCTGACACTCTATCCCCTGAGTCAAACCGGTTTCGGCCTCTTAAAGGTTTTAAAAGGTAGAGTAATTGGGTAGATGTTATATTTGGTGGCAACATAAGCTGACAGCGCTGTGGCCCTCTTTGGGGCCAGCTTCACAGGTGTGTAGTGACTGCATAGGGTCCTACAACATTTGGGTTTGCCACACCACCTTCCTTTTGGGCCCAGGAATCAGGCAGACCTGGTGGCAAATCTCAGCTCCACCTTTGCTCACTTGTGTGGCCTTCATTCACACACTTACCACTGTTTACTGTCCTCAGTGCTGGATCACCGGGTTCGGTGAAGGAGGAACCGTTTATGAAAAAACTAGTGGCCCGGTGCATGAAATTCATGCACATTAAAAGGGAATTAGTTAGAGGAAATAGTTTAATATTGCTATTTGCCCTTTCTCTATAATAGAAGTGTCAGACCTGAAACCGGTTTGGCTCAGTGGATAGAGCATCAGCCTGTGGACTGAAAGGTCCCAGGTTCGATTCCAGTCAAGGGCATGTACCTTGGTGGCAGGCACATCCCCAGTAGGGGGCTGTGCAGGAGGCAGCTGATCTATGTTTCTGACTCTCTCTCCTTCTCTCTTCCTCTCTGTAAAAAAAATCAATAAAATATATTTTTTAAAAATATAAGTGTCAGAGATGAAAGAAAATTAGTATATGAAAATCTCCCTCCTGTCAGAGTCTGGGGCATTCCACGGGACCCAGAGTCAAGTCCCTGCCCATCCGCGCCTGCCTCAAAATCACGTGAGACCCAGACCCGCATGGCCCCACCCCATCAAGCCCCACAGGGTGGGGGGCGAAGCCTCAGGCCCTCTGGCACAGCCTCGGGTCCCCCAGCCCAGCACCAGGGCAGGAGGTGCGATCTTCTTCTCTTCGGTTCCCCAGCTTGGCCTCAGGTCCCCCAGCCCCAGCACAAGGGTGTGACGACCATTTGCATATTAGCTCTTTATTAAATAGGATCACTCAAGAAGACTGTGGCAGATGCTGCTGATCCCTCCCCCTGTCCCCTCAGTTCTCACCTTTGTGGTACCCACAATGTTTTCCTGAGATTCTTCACCTCAGGGCCTTCTTGTGGTCAGGACACAGGGCAAGCTGGAAGTGTCAGGGAATTAACATCCCCAGGAGCAGCCCTCAACTCCCAATCAATGGAATGCAGAAGAAAATGTCCAGTTTCCTCACCCTGTGGAGTGGGGCAACTCTGAGTCCTGTCCTACTGCCCTGTTTCCCCGAAAATAAGACAGTGTCTTATATTAATTTTTTTCTCCCAAAGTTGCACTAGGTCTTATTTTCAGGGGATGTCTTATCTTTCCATGCGCTAGGTCTTATTTTTGGAGGATGTCTTATTTTCGGGGAAACACGGTAGTACGATTTCCCAAGAAAAACTTGCTCTCTAATGCACGCCCTGTTCACTTCCTCCCCTTCCCTGAATCACTCCCCGCTTCCTCCCGGACCAGTGCTTCCCGGGATCACTCTCCAAAGAAAGGACTTGCACTCAAATCCTCTCTCAGGGTCTGGTGCTTCAGGAACCCAACCTAAGACAGATACACTTACAAACTGATAGCGGCAAGGAAGGGGTTGGATGCAGTGCCACATGCCACAGAGCTGTCTGAAGTGACACTGAGGAGGAGGAGGCCAGGAGCAGGGTGGTAGCAGAGGAGCTGAAAGTAAGTGGGTAGATTTGAGACATATCTAGGACACGGTAAAAAAAATAGATGTTAGGCCTGAGAGCCATGCAAACAACCCCCAAGTTTCAGACTCATGTGCTTGGAAAAGTTACTTGACTTTTTCCTTAATTACCTTTTCTCCAAACAGGGGTGAGCATAATGGACAATTCATTCATTCATTTACATATCACCTACAAAATGGCATTTCCTAATGTCTGGCCCCAGAGGAAAAGTTTGGGAAACATTTTTTCCCCCCCTCTTATCTTCCAAAGCTCAACACAAGTGCCCCTTTCCCTAGGAAGGCTTGCTCAATTCCACCCCAAACCACACTGTTTTTAATACCCTGAGCTGTGGCAATCAGAGTGTCTGTGGAGACTGGACAGACCAGGCAAGGGGGGGAGAACTGGATAAGACGTAAGGTCTGGCTGAAACCGGTTTGGCTCAGTGGATAGAGTGTTGGCCTGCGGACTGAAGGGTCCCAGATTCGATTCCGGTCAAGGGCATGTATCTTGGTTGTGGGCACATCCCCAGTGGGGAGCGTGCAAGAGGCAGCTGATCGATGACTCTCATGACTCTCTCTCATTGATGTTTCTAACTCTCTATTTCTCTCCCTTCCTCTCTGTAAAAAAATCAATAAAATATATATATTTTTAAAAAGACTTAAGGTCTGGGCTACACAATGGGGTTGGGATAGTGGAGGGAGGGAGGGTCTAAAACACCTAAAATTTCAAATGTTAGCAACTCCAAGATCATGTTATTTCTTTCCATGGGGCCTTTGTTAATGCTCTTTCCTTCTGCCCCAAATAGCTTTCCTCTTATTTATCCTTTGACTCTGCTTGGATGTTTCCTCCTCCAGGAAGCCTGCTTTGCCCGAACATCCCTCATCCATGTGTTCTTTGCGAGCTTTGCTCACCACAATCAATACATCTCACACCAAGTAGCCATCATCTGTTTGCTCGTCTGTCTCCCCACTGGATGGGGACTCCCTAAAGGGCAGGGAGCCTGAGGAAGTCAGGCTGAAGAACTAGTATAGAAGTGATTCGAAGCTTTCAACATCCATTCAACAAATATTTATGAAGCACCAACTTTTGCCAAGCCCTGAGCTTCATAGCTTTGATGAAGACAGACACATATGAGAAGGATTTTAGTGGAGAGAGAACAAGGGAGAGACTTTTGTGTTAATCACAATTGGCTAAGTTTAGCTGCAGTAACAAATAAACCCTGAAATCTCAGTGACTTAATACAATGCATGTTTATTTCTTTTTTTTAATTAAATACATTTTTATTGATTTCAGAGAGAGGAAGGGAGAGAGAAACATCAATGAGAGAGAGAATGATCAACTGGCTGCCTCCTGCATGCCCACTACCGGGGATCAAGCCCTCAACCCGGACATGTATCCTGAACGGGAATCGAACCATGACCTCCTGGTTCATGGGTCAACGCTCAACCCATGAACCAGGGCAATGTTGTCAGAAGTGACAGCTAAGGCCGGGACCGGTTTGGCTCGGTGGATAGAGTGTCGGTTTGGGGACTGAAGGGTCCCAGGTTCGATTCCGGTCAAGGGCATGTACCTTGGTTGCGGGCATATCCCCAGTAGGGGGTGTGCAAGAGGCAGCTGATCAATGATTCTCTCTCATCGATGTTTCTCTCTATCTCTCTCCCTTCCTCTCTATATAAAATCAATAAAAAAATATATTAAAAAAAAGTGACAGCTAAGGAGGAGGAGGCCAGGAGCTGCACACCAGCCAGGCACAAGTTTATTTCTTCCACATGAAAAGTCTGATGTGGGTGAGTAGTGCCTAAGTTCCACCAGGTGATGCCAGGGGCCAGAATCCTTCTGTCACGTGCTTGGCCATTTCAACATGTGGCCTCCCAGGCTTCGGTGGCAGGAAGAAAGGGGTAAAAGAGGTTCATGGAATTTAACTGCATCAGTCCAGGAGTGACACCCTTCTCTTCACAGCTCATTGGCTAGGGCTAGTCACATGACTCTACCCCAACTGCAAGGGAGGCTTGGAAATGTAGGGAAATATGGACTGTCTCTGTCACAGCATCCTAGGCTGAGCAAGTCATGTGTGTGAGAGGATGTTTGGGGATCAGCACAAAGACTTAAGGATAAAGCCATGGTGCCTGACATGGACTCACAATGACTAGCGTGTGTGTGTCTGTGTGTGTGTGTGTGTGCGTGTGCGTGCGCGCGTGCACGCACGCGCGTGAATATGAGATTGGATTTAAGTGTCTTTAAATAGCCTATTCAGTTTGCCCCAGTCCCCACCACTCCCTCTTGTCCTGCACTTAGTCTGACTCCCCACCTGGCCCCAAAGGCCCCTGGTTTGAGTCCCCAATCATAGCTTTTTGTCTTCATTTTGCCTTCCAGGTGACCCAGACTGTTGATTCCTGCCACAGAACTGTGTTGATTACAAACCTAAGCCAGACCAGCTCCTCACCAAACCAGGGTCCTGAGGTGGCCTCTAAGACCTATAGCTCCACCTCAGCCAGCTTTGTCTTCCAGAATGCTCTTCCTCTCTTCCAGGCCCCAGTTTCCCCGGGTGTCAAATGGGCTCCAGAATCCCTGTTCCCCTCCCAAGCTTGTTCTGAGGTGGGGGGCAGTGGAGAGGACTTTTCATGGCCCCAGGGTCCCAGGGTCCCTTCTCAGCAGAGCTGGGGAGCTCTTAGTCCAGTCCCCTCTCAATGCTGAAAAGAGAAACCCCACATCAGCCGAGACAGAACTGCAACCACAGAACTCCATGATTATCCAGACGCGTTTTATTATCATTAGGAGGATTATCATTGACAAGAAGAAGGTGTCTAGTAGGTTATATTACAAGGCGCAACATCCAGAATGATATTTACATATTCCCACATACATGGTTATCCCATCACTTCCAGGGCAATGTTTACATATTCCCGCACACACTCACTCTGCAGCTACCACACAGCACAGCACCACAGGGGGTCTCCACCTGAAATGCTTCCCCCACGCAGAACACAGCTGTGGGTCAGGTGCCGCCACCCACACACCCGCACAAACTAACAAAAACCCACCCAAGAAAACCAGTAACGGAAGGAGATCCTGGATTCTGGGGGCAACGTTTACATGTGGTGACTCCTGACACACGGGGTGAGGGATGGAAGCTGGATTTGGACATCTCCACTCCCAGGGCACCCGCCCTTCACTGGCTGCTTGCCCCAGAGGCACTCTGCCCCTCTCCAGGAATACCTTAGAAGACACAGAAGGGTCATCATCTCAGCCAGGACTAAGGCAGGGGAGCCGGCCTGCAGGGTAGGCGAGGACCTCTGGGCGAGGACCCCTTGCCAGCGACATGAAATGAAGGAATATGGGGGTTTAGCTTATAGGATGGCCTTCTTGTGTCCCTGAAGGAGGGGGGCAAGCAAAGCCAGGGGTTTGGGTGTGTGCGTTCAGGGGTGGGGGGCTCAGGTTTATGGTGAGGGATCTCAGGGTAAGGGAAAGAGGGGTCACAGAAGGAGAGGGGGCACAGGACTCTTAGACCCCAAACTCGACTTCACAGGAAACTGGGCTCACTCCTCCAGGGGCTCCCCGGCCCAGGCCGCCCGCCGTCCAGGGTGCTGCCGCTTCTCCTCAGACCTCTGGCCCCTGCTCAGGTCATCCAGGAGCCCCAGCAGGAGGCTGGCCTGGCCGCAGTCTCCCTGGAGCCCACACGGGCCTCCCGAGGCTCTCTTGCCCGGATGCTGGCGTTTCTCAGGCATCAGCTCTCTCTCCTCCTCTTCCTCCTTTCCTTCCTCCGCCTCTCCCCAGCTCCTTTGGGCCTTGGGGTCCACCAGCCGTCGGCCGGGGTGCTGCCTCTTGGTGAAAGCATACCCCAGCCAGAAGGAGGAGCGCCGGCCGGGGTGCTGCCGCTTCTGCGGGGCCACATCCCCTGGCCCCTTGGCCGCACTCTCCCACGGGCCTGGACGCTGCCTTTTGTGGGGCCCCAGAGCCCCGCCCTCTTCTTCCTCCCCTTCAGCTCCCTCTTCAGCCTCCTCCTCCCTTTTGCCTGGATGCTGACGCTTAGAGAGCTCGCTGGACTCAACGTCCTGGGACTCTGTGGGAGGAAAGAGCGAGTGAGACATCCCCTGACCATTGAGCGCCTACCCTAGCCTTCCTCCAGTCAAGGTAGGAATTCCTGCAGCGTCATGGCCTTGCACCTGTCCCTCAGGACTCACAGACACACGCACTCACACAGACGGTCAAGGGCATGACTTCTGATTCCAGTCTCAACGCCGCCACCCCCTCGCGGTGTGACCATAAGCAACTCTGAGCCTCAGTTTTCTTTTGTGTACAACGAGGGGTAGTAATCACGGTTCCTATCTAAGAGGTGGCGAGGAAGAACAGATCGTGTGACAAAGTACGTGAAGTGCTTAGAACAGTGGGTGCCTGGCATTTTCCTCCCAGCACAGCATCTTCCCCCCACGGTGGGTATGTTTTCTGGGACATATTCCCCAGACGGAGATGCCAGAGGAATCTGGTTCCAGGAAAGGGTCAGCTCATGATCTGGCGGAGGGTGTGGCCAGTGAGACTTTCTCTGAGCAACAGGCTGGATGACCAAGTCGCCCCCTCTCCTCTGATCCCGTTTCCCCACAGCCCTCCCCTCAGCCTCCTCCTCCCGCCTGGGCAGCCCGGGTCAGACCTGCCTCTCACCTGATTCGGGATTTTGATTTTCCGGGAGCCCAAGCAGCTCTCGGGCGTCCTCCCGTTGGAGGAGGGTGCCCAGGAGATTCCTGAGGTACAGGTACTGTGTGACCATCCCATCCTCCTGCTGGTCCTCCTCGGGGTGGGCTTGGCCTCCGGGGACACCGGTGAGGGTCAGGGTCAGGGTCAAAGCCATGGCGAGCAGCAACCAAGGGCCAGGCATCCTGGCGGCTGGATCAGGAGGAGAGAGAGAGAGAGAGAAAGAGAGAGAGAGAGAGAGAGAGAGAGAGAGAGAGAGAGAGAGAGAGAGAGAGAGCGAGCGCTCATAAGCGCGCTGCGCCCCCGTCCCCCAGGGAGCTGCGCCTCCTTTCCAGACCCAGCGGGTCCCTGAGGCCGGTACAGCGAACCGAACCGGGGACAGCAGGAGGGTCTGCCTCGCCCCGGCGTCCTCACCTGTCCAGCTGCCCATGCCCAGTTTCGCTCAGAGTCCGGGAGCGCCCCCCCCCAAGTCCCCCGTCCTCGCGCCCACCTTCCGCCGGCGTCCTCATCCCAACGCCAAGACCCTATTTCTAAGGATACGGTGCTTCTGGGACGAGGCTCAGGAATGCAATTCTGACCCTAAGAGCCCAATGCCCACGTTAGCCCCAGCGCCAGCACTCTGTCCTGGAGCCGATGCTGCGGTGCTGAGGCCGCTCGGAGTCTAAGCGAACACCCCGCGCCTGACGTCGGGGTTCGGTTCCCGCTCCCGGCGCTCCCGGGACGCCCCGCCGGCCTCGCGGCGCCCGGACCTGCAGCGGGAGGCCGGGCAGGGCGGGCTGCGAGTCCTCCCTGCGATGCCCAGACGCAGGGAGGGACCTGGGGGTGCAGGGTGCCCGCCGCCGAGGTGCCCCCGACGTGGAAGACGGGGCTCGAACCAGCGCCCCCCGCCCCCCGGAGCTCCGAGGCTGCAGCGACTTCTCCCCCCGGGGCGCCCTGGGGTGCGGGCGGGAGGAAAGGGCCCCCTGCCCCGGACCGAGGTGCTCACCTGTCCGGCGCGAGCTCCGCGGGACCGACAGGTCCGGGATCCTGGGGCTTCCTTCGGGTCCGGAGTTTCGGTCCGGGATCCTGGGGCTGCGGGTCCGGAGTTTCGGGGTCCGGAGGCGGCGGGGCGGTGGGTCAGGCGTCCCGGTCCCCGGTGCCCGCTGCTCCGCGGGGCCCGCGCTTATATCCGCGCGCGGCGGCGGCGCCGGTGAGGTCAGCGGGGAGGGGTCGCGGCCGACGCGCAAGGGGCGCTGACGGCAGCGGCCCCGCGGGTACACCGCCCCCCTATCTCCCCTCCGCCTCCCAGCTCCGCCGGAAACCTGGGGCTGGCGAGGCGGGGACGGGGGGCGGGGGGGGGGGGGTGAGCTGACACACGACGCGGGATGGGCTGCTGGTGCGGGGGTCAGTTCTGCACCCAGCTCTGAGGCCGGTTGTCTAAGAGGAGGGGACAAAGAGACCCAGAGAATCACACACAGAAACACACACACGGGAGAAAAGAAGAGATAAAGACAAAGACTGAGAGATGCATCTAGAAGGATACAGGGAGACACACACACACCACGCATCAGAGTCAGAAAGACACAGAGAGAGACAAAGAGGGAGAGGAGGGGGAGAAGAGGAGGAAGAAAGGGGTAGAGTGAGAGAGGGAGAAATTAGGGTACAAGTGGGATCTGGGCTTTGGTCTTGACAGTCACCTCTGGCAAGTGCCTCCAACTCCCCGGGGTCTCAATTTTCTCGTCGCTACAGTTGTGGGAGCCGACAGTGCTCAGGACGCCAAAGCTGGCAGTGCGTGGGCCGCCACCAGTTCACAGGCTGTGTGGTGTGACTCCCACAGGTGGTATTTTTTTAAACCCGAATAACCAACATTTAAGAAATCAGGAGAACTTAGGTAAAATGTGGATGTAGGACTTCTCTTGAAAATCTCTTGGAGAAGAGGGGGTCTTGCTTGGCCAGGGTGGCTCTGTGGTTGAACATTGACCTATTTAAACCAGGAGGTCACGGTTAGGTTCCTGGTCAGGGCACATGCCTTGGTTGTGATGGCGGTCTCGATCCCATTGATTGGCATGCGGGAGGCAGCCAATCAATGAGTCCCATCATTGATGTGTCTCTTTCTCTCCCTCTCATTTCCTCTCAGAAATCAATAAAAACATTTATTTTTAAAAAAGACTGGACCTAGACTTCCTCCTAACAATAGCCAGCTGGAGTTGAGCCTGGCTGCCTCTGGTCACCATACTCTCCACCACTCCCTACCGTCTCCCAATGTGCTGCCCCGGTCACCAGGAAGGGACATTGGAGTTTGTGCTGGACTCAGGACCAGAAATCCATAGGGGTCCACGCAAAGGAGGGGAGGGAATGTTGGGGGGAGAAAGGCACAGATGCCAAGGAGCTTGTCCCCCAATCTCTCCTCAAAGTCACATGATACCTTGGGAGAGAACTCTGCTCCATCTAGTCCTGGGCACAGCCTCCAACCTGAAGCATCTCATGGCCCCCTCCTTGGTTTTGGGGACACAGACGTTAGCCAGGCCCACTTTGACTGAGCCACATTTTTGACGGAACAATGTCTGTGAAGGTATCTCCTACCTCTGGACCATCTTAACATTATTCTGCCCCCATATCCAATATTTCCTCAGCCTAATACTTGTATGCCCAGACCATGCTAGTGGTCTGGCAAGGCATTCCAAAAGTATTTTAACTATGGCTCTTTCCGCTGGTAGAGCACCCGACCTTCCTAACACATCCACCATCCCACTGCATCCTCACATCACCGGCAAGATAAACAAGGTAAAGACTGTGAGTCCCACTTTACAGGTAGGGACGCAGAGACCTGAGGAGGCAGAAGAACTCTGAAGGGTAGAGGAGGAAGGGAATTTTCAGATGACCAGCCCTCCCCTCATTTTTGGATGAAAAAAACTGAGGTCTGGAGAGACGGCCTGATTGGCTTCCCATCTCCCAGGCATACTTTGTGCCCACAAATTCAGATGATTGGCTGGGATAGATTGCAAACCTGAAATCCCAGGCTTGCTCTTCCAGTCAGATTCCAGAATTTGAAGAATTGCCAACCTAGCTATTTAATCAGACAGACAGACCTGTTATTTTTTCACATACAATGGTAGAGGTGTAAATTGATACAACAACCTCTTTGGGTGGCAACCTGGAAATTTAACACATATGTCCCCTCCACAAGACAATTCTATTTCCGAGAATTCATCCTATAGATACCCACATCTAAGCATGAGGATGGGTACATAGGGTATTCCGTGTGGCTTGGCTTATAGAAGCCAGAATCGAAGGCCAGCCTGGCCGATGTGGCTTAGGATTGAGTGTGGACCCATGAACCAAGAGGTCATAGGTTCGATTCTGAGTCAGGACATATGCCCAGGCTTCCGCTCGATCACCAGTAGGGAACATGCAGGAGGCAGACGATTGATGTTTTTCTCTCATACATGTTTCCATCTCTCTATCCCACTCTGTAAAAAAAAATCAATAAACTATATATATATATATAAAAAAAAGAATAAGGCTGTTCCATGTGTACAGATATGGAATAAGCTCCAGGAAAAAGTTAAAAAAAAAAAAAAAAAGCAGAGTGGAGAACAATGTGCACATCATGTACATCTGTGTGGTGGCCTGGGAGACTGACTGCTTATGCAGAGACTCTGTTGGGGTGCACCAGTACAGTACCGAAGGAGACCTGGGGAACCCAGACAGGGGAGGATAGTGCAAGGGAGCTCGCTTAGCGCTGTTTGATTTTTTTTTTTTCATCTGTGCAGCCTTACCTAACCACAAACTAACGAACAGCACAATAAATAAATAAATAAATAAATAAATAAATAAATAAATAAATAAAAATCTCTGAGTCTGAGGCTCAGGAATAAGAGTGGAAGGATAGGAAAGCTGCCTGGAAAAGGGTGAGGTAGCTGGAACATTGCCCCCGGGTGCACCCATTTGATGCACTTCCATAATCAGGGATTTGAGTTGCCTTTTAGGAGGAGGGTTACTAGACAGATGGGTGGGTGGGAGGGGAGGCGAATGGGAGGAGGAAATGGAGTTCCCAGGTGGCTCAAGGTTCCTGAGAGGATGGTAGAGGTCTCTGAAGTGTGCTCAGGAAGCCAACTCTCCCTCCCTCCTTCCTCTCTTTTCCCCTTTCTTCCTCCTCCTTTCCCTCCGCAAATATTCACTGAACTCCTAATAAGTCGCAGGACCTGTTCTAGACCTGGGTACTGTAGTAACCACGTCTTTCTGACACTTTGACCTTTGGGGTCTTGCTGACTCTGGAGAGACTGCCAACTCCCACCGTTAGCCGATTCCTAGAGATAAGTAAAGAACCAATTTGCAAACAAACCAATTGAGAGCCCACACACCCTGTCTCCTGCCTAGTCACCCAGGGCCAGGGGTCAGGCAACCAGGGACAGCGCCTATGCCCCGGAGCTCACTGAAATTGTCGAAACTAGATGATCTGGGACCTTCTGACCCCACCTGGCCTGTTCCTTCCTGCAGAAACCACAGTAAAGACTCTTGCCCATCTTTCCCCCCACTCCCTGCTCCCTCTGCCTCCAGATAGACCCTGGTGCTGCCCTGTGTGACCCTATGGTGTGGTTTGCCCCCTCCTCTTAGGAACTGTGAGTAATAAACTACCTTTTCAATAGTAGCAATCTCCTGATCAATTGGCCTCATCATGCCTAAATAATAATAAAACCCACATTTAAAACAGGGAGCTGAGCCGAAACCTGTTTGGTTCAGTGGATAGAGTGTCGGCCTGCAGACTGAGGAGTCCCATGTTTGATTCTGGTCAAGGACATGTATCTTGGTTGCAGGCACATCCCCAGTGGATACGAGGTGTGCAAGAGGCAGCTGATCCATGTTTCTCATCGATGTTTCTAGCTCTCTATCCCTCTCCCTTCCTCTCTGTAAAAAAAAAAATCAATAGAATATATTTTAACAAAACAAAACAAAAAAACAGGGAGCTGAGCCCTGGCCAGGTGGCTCAGTTGATTGGAGCATTGTCTCATACACCAAAAGGTGCATTCCCAGTAAGGGCACATCCATAAGTTGCAGGTTTGATCCCCATTCAGAACAGAGAACATACGGGAGGCAACTGTAGATGTTTTTCCTTCACATCAATATTTCTCTCTCTCTCTCTCTCTCTCTCTCTCTCTCTCTCTCTCTCTCTCTCTCTCTCTCTCTCTCCCTTCCTCTCTCTCTAAAATAAATGTCAATAAAAGCATATCCTCAGGTAAAGATTAAAAACAAAACAAAACAAAAAAACAGGGAGCTGAGAGTTGAGTCATTATGTTGCACATATTTTTTAAACTTATTTTTTCCCTCTGACAATACAAATGTGTTTGTACTTTAGTTGCTTATCAGATTAATACTGCTATGCTCTTGAAAATGAATAATGGGATAATTTAGTGGTGAGTTTGTGCACTAATTTCTAACTTCCAGTTCCCATCCTATGGGCCACTTACTCATTCTTTTATTTATTTATTTATTTATTTATTTATTTATTTATTTATTAGAATGTTGAGTAGTGCAGTCAGCCCTATGATATTCTCCAGTATAGGCTGCTCTCTCCAACCCTTTTTTTTTTTTTTTTTTTTAAAAGGAGGATTGTATCAGCAGTCTTGCTTCATCAGACTCAGCCTTCTTAGTCCTCCAGCACTTACTCATTCTTAAGAGCCTACTGCAGCCGAAACCGGTTTGGCTCAGTGGATAGAGCGTAGGTGTGTGGATTGAAAGGTCCCAGGTTCGATTCCGGTCAAGGCCATGTACCTTGGTTGTGGGCACATGGTAGGGGGTGTGCAGGAGGCAGCTGGTAGGGGGTGTGCAGGAGGCAGCTGGTTGATGATTCTCTCTCATCAATGTTTCTAGCTCTCTATCCCTCTCCCTTCCTCTCTGTGAATAATCATAAAATATATATATTTTTTAAAAGAGCCTACTGCAAATGCCCATTTGTTCATTCATTCATCCTTTCATTCGTTCATTTAATAAACGTTCCTTGAGCAGGTAATGTGTAGAGTTTTAGGGTCACTGAGAGGATCCAGACAAGATCACTGCTCTACAAATGTTAGTCTGGGAGAAGGATGTGTCCACATAAATTACATTATGTGTACCATGTGTTCAAAAGCCCTGGGGTGGGGTCATAGATCCAGCCTGTAGGTGAAGAATGGTTTATTGGATGAGTCTTGGAGTTGGTTGGGATGAAAGGGCATACCTGAGGCTTTCTCTGACCCTCCTGACTGGAATAGATAGATGCCCATCACACTTTCTCTTTCTTTCTTTTTAAGTTGGATTTTTAAAAATATATTTTAATTTATTTCAGAGAGAAAGGGGGAAGGAGAGAGAGATAGAAACATCAATGATGAGAGAGAATCATCGATTGGCTGCCTCTTGTACACTCCACACTAGGGATGGAAGCAGCAATCCAGGCATGTGCCCTGACCGGGAATCAAACCATGACATCTTAGCTCATAGGTCAACACTCAAGCACGGAGCCACACTGGCTGGGCCACTCTCTCTCTTTCCCCAGCCTTTATCGGGTGCAATCAGGCATTTCCTTATTCCTTGTTACCTGCCTTTCACACCAGAACCTCAGCTTCATGTGGCCAGCTACTACTTGTTCCTTACTGTTTATCCAGTTCTTGGCACATAGATGACACTTACCGTGTTTCCCCGAAAATAAGACATCCTCCGAAAATAAGACCTAGTTCATGGAAAGATAAGACATCCCCTGAAAATAAGACCTAGCGCAACTTTGGGAGAAAAAATTAATATAAGATACTGTCTTATGTTCAGGGAAACAGGGTAGAACAGATTTGTTAAATGAATGACTACATGAATACTAGTAAATGCTTTCACCCTAGAGCAAGCTGCCTGGCCCTGTCTTTTGAGGCGAGAGAGCACAAATATTGCATCCCTCTATCACCTCTGGACAACACATTAGAGAGTCAAAATATTTACCAGAAGGAGAAACAGACAAACTAGGGAAGTGAGCAAGGAGAGAGCTGAAGGCCAGAGCCATCAGCAGAAGCTTCCTGGAGGCAGAGGGGCAGAAGCCAGAATCTGAAGGATGGGGAGAGTCAAGACAAGTAGAATTGGAAGCAGATGAGCTCAGGCTGATCGAGGACCGGCTTCCTCTCTCCTACCTAAGCAGAGCAGCTGGCCCCCTGCCCTCCTCCCAGAGCAGCATGGTCTAGAGATGGATAATGTCCATGGACTGTTGAGGCTGCTCAGGGCCAGGCCAGGCTTCCACACTCACAGTCTAGACTGACAAGCTGAAGCCATTAACCCCCACCAACCCAGACCCTGTGCCCCCTATGAGTTCTTACCTTCATGCTGAGAGGCCAATTGCAGGTCTGTGTGGTCCAGATTGCTTCCAAAGAGCAATTTTCTGCCCAGCTGGATACTGCTGAGAGGAGCTCGTGCTCAGGGGGGGCACTGGGGACTGGGGGATGCCGCCATCCCACAGGCCTGGCATGGAGTTGGATGAAAGGAGCGATTTCTGAAAGGTGTTGTCTGATGTATTCAGCTGGCATGGGCATGTGCAAATATGTGTTTGTGTACATCTCTCTGTGTGTATGTACATATGCACAGTTTATGTGTATGGTGTGCACACATTCACGCATATCTATGCCTTGGTGTGCACGTGTGCATGTGTGTGTGCCCAGGTCTACAGCTAATGTGTACATGTGTGGCACATGTGTTGTGGCTTAGTTTAGGGCAGAGTCTAGTGATCATCTTCAGTCCAGTTGGTCACCAGTTGCCCCATCTAGTAAGGAAACATGGCTCCAGATCTAATGTTCTACCTATGAATTAGACGTTCTCACTGCCCCTTCATACTTACCTGTTTACTCTTCCATCCTCTGTTTTATGCTAGTTAGTCTGGCATAACTAGCATAAAACAGAGGATGGAAGAGTAACATAGCAGAAGGAATCTCCTTGAGGGCAGAGTGTGAGTTCGTCTTTCACAGAGCTTAGCACCCAGTGGGTGCTGAGGAGAAGATCAATACTGAGGAGTGACAACAGAGCAGGACTGGCATACTGAAACCAACTCCCGGGTGCCCTGAACACATTTCCTCAATTCATCCAGCCCTATGAAGTCAAAATGACCCTGCCTATTTAAAGAAACGAAGGCGTGTATCATAGAATTGTACACTTAAAATCTGTATAATCTTAACCAATGTCTTCCCAATAGATTTAATGTAAAAATGATAACAAATAAATTTTATTTTTCAATTACAAAAATTAAATAAAGAAACAAAGGCTCAGAGAGGTGAAGTGACTTATTCAAAGTCACACAGCCAGGAAAGAGAGAAATTTACTTGGATTCCACTCTACCCTACTGGAAGGGAATACAGGCAGATGAAAATAGCTAATGAGTTAGGATGATGATGAAAACAGAGAATTAGTTTTTCCTTTTGTAAAATTCTTTTTATGTTTTGGTTACATCTTCTCACTAAAGAAACTTTTTTTTTTTTTTAATAGAAAGTATCTTGAAAGAATAAAAATCTGAAGCTACCCTTCAACCCGGTATCTGATGTCTCAAAGCCCATAGCAGAAAAAGTGAGCTTCTGACTTATGAAATATCATGAGGCTTATCTTCGGATCATCTCCAGAGGATATAGACTAATTCTGGCGAGGACGGAAGTGCTTTGGGTGGGCTAGGGTAGGGGCGGTGACAGTCGCTGGCGGATAAGAGACATCCTCATCGATCAGGCCCGCTAGAGATTACAAGTCCCCACCCCTGCCTTCGCCTCTCTTATTACAGAAGAAAAATGAAAACCAACTCCAATTCACCTTGCTCATTTAGGTACATTTATCTCCTGTCAGCCACAAGTAGGTTTGTCCCAATGTTCTGAGTTAATTAGAGCTTGTCCTCAGAATACATGTAGTACACACCCTGAAACTTGCAAGTGGGGGAGTAGGTATTAATCTGTTGCTAACATTGGGCCCTGAGTCAGGGTGACAACAGGCGGAGGAGGAGAGGCCTAGTGGACGCTGACAGAGACCTTCATTTGGCCCAACAAGGTGCCCACTGCCCCTCCTGAGCATCCAAATGTCCCTTCTCATTGCCCCATGAGAACCCACTTTGGAGTCTGGAATGGAGGCCATAGTCCTTTGGTTGCCTGCATCTACCCTTTGACTTCCAGTCAGCATTAGGATCCCTCTTTCCTTCGGGGAATAACCTTACCCCCTGCCCTGTATGGCCTCGATGGGTTGCTAGTCACACTGCCCAGGACACGGGATCAGCACGTGGCCCAAGTTTGGCCTACGGAACCCGTTCTCTCCTGGGACTTAGAGTCTTGAGTGGCCTTTTGAACAACATCCGAACTGGACTTTCAAAGGGATAGCTCATTTCCCCCGGCTCATGTGTGGCAAAAGGGAGGCCAGAAAGCTTTTAAGAATAAGAATACTTGAAGTGATTAAGTGAACGAATGAGCCCAGAAATGAGTAAATAAGTGATTAAACCCATTAATGAGTAAGTGAATTAGTGAGTGGCTGGGAAAGAAGTCAACATATGCCAACATATGCTGCCCTATGGGGCTCCAGCTGGGAGACAAATCAACAATATAAACAACTAGAAAATAATGATGTGCCGAAACGCATAGCAACAATGGTGTGTCATGTAGGAAGCTCTCTCTATGGACTGGAGATGTCTAGTCAAGCTTGAAGTGGGACTGATGAGGACCCTAAAGAATGGGTCGTACTGTATTAGGGAAGCTGGAGAAGAGGGGTAGGTAGGGCACTCCGGAGGGACACCATGTGCAAGTGGAGGAGTGGAGCTGCCCAAGTGTAAGACTCGTTCCCTACCCACTTAGTACTCACCATTTCTGATTCCTCCATCATCACTTAGCCAGGACTCAATTGTGGACACAGATCTAGGGCATGGATTCTGGAGGGAGAAATCACAAGTAATGGCTGCTCTTAACTCTAGCCCACAGCTGGGGCCGAGAGGTGGGTCAGAGCCATCCATCACAAGCACGCTGGGTATGACCATGCCAAAGGCCAACATTGGGCACATCTCCAGGGCTACTCTGAGGACCCAGCTGGCTGCAGCAAACAGATTTCCCTTTATTGGTGTTGGGACCAGAGAGCTATTCAGGATAAGTCATGAATGATGCTCAGATAAGCAAGGGCTTCTGAGCATGGGGGCAGGGCCGTAAAAAAGACTCTGGAATCTGGTTTCTAGACCTGGTTTCCAATCCTAGGCCCACCACTGCTTCGATATGTGACTGTGGGCAACTAATGCCACCTCCGCACCACAGGGGCAGGAAAACATATCTCACAGGGTGTTGTGAAGAAATGTATGCCTTGCATTGTGCTTGCCGGAAATAGAGTAGATACTTGATAAATGACAGTACTTTATTTCCTGACTTTTCTCCAATGAGCACTTTGGTCATCAGCAACAAATACAGTTAATTAAAAAAAAAAATTTTTAAACAACAAAAGTGTGTCTGCTTATGATCTTGGGAGAAAGTGTACAGTCAGGAAATGCATGGCATCCCGGAATTGGACAGTTTGAGGATAATTTCATAAAAGAGCTGTTTATAGCCGAAACCGGTTTGGCTCAGTGGATAGTGCGTCGGTCTGTGGACTGAAAGGTCCCAGGTTCGATTCCGGTCAAGGGCATGTACATTGGTTGCGGGCACATCTCTGGTAG